CTGCGCATACTTACCCGTTCTTGAGCAATCACGATCCAAAAAGTGTCCACACTTATATGGTAGGCCACTGTATATATTCGCCTGTCCCTTCCTCAAACAACCCAACAATATCTTCTCTAGTAAATTCTGCATCCAGGTTGTTGCATAAAAATCGAAGAACTGATTGTTTCGAATTCTTAGGAACAGAAGTATCCCATACTCGATGATAAGTATCTTTAATATTGTTGATTCGCTCTACATTAAAATAAAAAATTCACTTAATAGTCTGCCATTATGATATAAAAGATTCCAATAACTTACGTTCAATTGCTTTAATAACTTCTTCATAGAATTCGTTATCATTATAACTAACGCTTTTCCCTAAACGTTTATGTAGATTTATAAGTTGATCTACTTCGGTAGCTGCACCAATAATATGAGCAATTCGACCTCCACATAGATCAAATATTCTCTTTGCAATTTGAGTACCAAAATTGCGATTATTAACTAAATAAGTCAAAGCTTCATTTTCATTAAAATCACCAATGTATAACGTTATGCAACGCGAAAAGAAAGAAGAATTCTCTAGATATTATTATGAATAATTAATATTAATTAGGAGTATTAACATTTTAAAATTTAAATAAAATCAGAATGTTACTACTTATGAAATTGTCAATTAAATTTGCATCACTCGCTACGAATACCACAGTATAGAGACCATGATCAGCTGCAGATTTAGCAACATTTTGGAGTCTTTCAACCACTTTAGGATCATTTTTTGCGATTTTAGCAATATCATCAATTATAAGTACTGGATAAATTGAATATTTCTTCGCCACTTTCGAAGCAAATTCTTCGAACCTTGATAAAACTTTCTGCCAATGTAATTTATGTGTGAAAGAACCTCCTAAATAATAAATAGTTTGTCAATATCCTAGCTAGTTATTTTCAAAATAATAAATATTATTACCATTTAATTGATTCGCCAGCCATTCGACAAGATTAACATCAAGTTTAGGATAATTAATTGCCTTTGCGAAATTTTGACCAAACTTTTCAATATCATCTGATGCTTCAACATATATTATGCCTTTTTTAAAAGTTCTAGCTGCGAAGTTAACTAGAGTACTTTTTCCACAACCATGAGGACCAATAATAAGATAATAGGTAGACTTTTCTAACGTCGGGTTCAGAATCCTTTTAATTAGATCCATTTCTTTTCTTTCCTTGAAAAGGTCACCTCTTATCGATGGTAACTCAGCATTAAAAAAACTTCGCAGAGTTTGTAAATAATTGTATTTTTGAATCAAATAAATCGAGGCAGCAGTCCCAATAAGTCCAAATGAAATAAAACGTGCAAATGATACACGAGTAAAACTTTCTCTAAGTCTGGCAAACACTTGGTAAGTTTTAGAATCGAAATGATTTTGACGTATTTGGCTGCTCTTTAAGAGTCCTGGCCATTTTAAGGTGGGCTATTATTGACATAAAAATTTAATAAACTTTATGAAGTTTGAATATTTATGTAATACTGTAACTTACGTTCTTAATAATCTTATTACTATAGGGCAGACGGACTAAACGCTGGCACAAACCAAGCATTTTTTTTTAACAGTGTATTAACATTAATACAAGAACAAAAAAATGTGTATTTAGCATGAGTCAAGTTTGATTTTAGGGGAATTTACAGATAAGGGCCCAAAAAACGAAAATAATTACAAATAAGGGCCCAAAATGAAAATAATTAC